TGTTTATCAAACGTATTCTCAGCGCATGGCAAACAGAGTGGCAGAACTCAGATTTTAAACTCACGAGAATCAAGGATTCCATCAACCCTTGGCCATTATCTCGTGGGTCAGCAGACAATTCTGACACGCCTTCGGATCGGTCACTGTCATTTCTCCCACGAACTTCTCCTCGGCGACCCACCTGCTACTCGCGATAGTTACGAGACTGATCTTACCATGGACCATGTTCTCCTACACTGTTCTCAGGTAAGTGAGAGCCGCCGAAGGCTACACCTTGCTAGCTCCCTAGCACTGGTACGTGGAAATGACGAATCTTCTCTCTGCAAGCTTTTTATCTTCTTACAAGAGTCTGACATTTGCAGAAATGAGTTTTATAAGAAATTAAAAAATGTGGGCTTATAGTGTGATAGCAACGAGTTTCCAACGACATATCAGTCGTGCAAATTAGATGTATACGTGTGTCATAAAGTGAAATTTGGCAAATTTTAAATTATCCCATGCCGCCCTACCGCCCCCGCTGCCGCCGCCAGACCGATCGGAGAATATTCATTTTGAGAAGATTCTAGGTCTAGTTTAGTCGCTAGTGTTGTTTACAGATGGTCAGACAGAGTGACAGGGGGGGGGGGATGCATTTCCGTTGAAATCTGGAAACCATATTCCGCAGCATTACTTAACTTGCCTTATACTGCGTATATTTCTCAGTATATTCGTACGTATACGAAAAAGTAAAACTAATGTTGTGATGCTGAAAATAGCAAAAGCAAAATGTGACGAAACCCACCCTGTCGAAGTGGGTCGGTCCACGGCCTGAGGGGGGTGCAGAGGGTCTCTCAAGTATTCCTTTCTTTCACCAGTCATCCTTATCTTCCCCGTCGTTCATTGTCAATTGGGTCATTTGTCTCTTTTCTTCTACCCCTTCTATTTCACTGCCACCCTTCTGTATGCAGAACGCCCACCCATGTGTTTGCCGTGCATGGCGACCTGTGTCGGAGGGAATGTGTGTCTTGGCAGTTGAGGGACCTGTTTGTTTCCCAATTACTCCTTGTCATACTTTCTGCTTTGCACCTAGGGATACGTTGTTTTCGTATTTTGGGGAACTTCCCTTCTAGGTTTCCAACACATTTGTTTTGGTCTCGTAATCTTCCAGATGGGCAGTCGTGAGGATAACCCACTCCCGATCAATCGGCTAGGACTAGGTATTGTACTGAACTCCAGGGTGAGCGTGGGGATCCACGGCGGGACAGTGCTATGCCATTCCCCCACTATATTTCCATGGCAACCCTGGCACTCCGATGGAGTGTCCCCTTGCTGGGCTCCGTGGTGGGTAGGGACCACGAGGATGAATCTCGTATCCATCTCCATGGATATTAAACTTTCTCCCCCGCTTTCTTCCGCAAGGAAGAGAAGATATCCGGACGAACCACTGATTTAAATACTTTTTTGCGACCGAAAAAATGATGACCGACCGAAAAAACTTTTATGCACCGAGGAAGAAAAAACGTTTAAAAATGGTAGTGCTGTCCGTGAGGCGCGTGCCATAGGGAAGAACATGGGTAAATGAAGCGGTTGTGCGAAAGAGGAATGGAACGATTCTCTTTTTTTCTCACGTACCGACGGACAAGTAGAGAAATTATTAAAAACCAAGCAGATTGCCGTCTCCAGGTGGTAGTGACGATGCGAACTTGGACCTGTGCCAAAGCGCCGTAAACCACGACTTCGCTTCCGAAAATGCCAACCCAGCCAACTACAACCAGTGCTCTACCTTTCTCCGGTAAAGGCAGATTCAGAAGGTGTCACCGAAAAGGTCTCCTTCCCTGAGGCCAAACGCTGACACCAGGGTAGAAATCCAGTAGACCTATCACGATCCTTCTCCAGTACTTTAAGAGGTCAAGTCCTCAGGGGTAACAGCAAGTTTTCAAACACAACGTGCTCCTGCTCTAGTGCAGCACTTCAGTTGTCAGGTATTAATAAACTATGAAAAGTCAGGGAATTTTAAATAAATATCTGAAATTTTGTTTTGTCCAATAAAAAATGTTCTTACTTAATGAAAATTTAGCAATTGTAAAGATTTTCATATTTTGTAAGTATTTTGTTTTGAGTGTATCATAACATAATTTTTAATTGTTTTTAATGAATTTGATAATTATTTTATATACAGAGGTGGCTAAATTATTTACTTTTGAATAAACTACTTATGGAGTACAGAGAAGTTTTGTTATGCTGCTTGAAGAAATGATGATTTTTAACAGAAAAAATCTTATTGTGGGTTCCAGATGCTGATAAAGGGAAAAAATATTGTTCCTTTATATAGTAAATTGCTTTCTCTTCATCAAACATGTTGTTCAAAAATGCCTCCAAATTTTTGGAATTAACTATTTTGTCAGAGAAAACAAAAAACTCTTTACAAAATGATGCAGGCATCATTTGCATTGAAGTGTCTGATAAGTGGAAAAGTTGAAATCTTTTTTGGTGTCTTTCTACAACTACATCGTTGACGATAGAAATCTCATCTCAATGGCATCTTGTTTTCAAATATAGATTTTTGAATTTATATATAACTTCTCAAAAATGTGTGTACTTTTTGTGCAATTTTACTGGAAATGGTGGCAGTTTGAAAAAAAAAAAAAAATTCTTATACATGGTCTCAAAAATATTTATAAAAAGGGCAGGACACATTTTCGGTATACTATATTTTTGAAAATTGCAAATCTACAACATAAGATTTCTGTCCTTAATAAAATTGTTCCTCAAAATTAAATCTTTAAATAAGGTCATGTACACTTTTTATGAGTATTTTTTGTGTAATTTTGAGTTTAATGGAGAAAAAGTTAAGGTTTTTGAACTTGTCATACACCACTAATATTCAAGTTAAGATATTTCTTTCTCTGTGCAATCTATGTCTCAATAGTAAATCTTTAAATATTTTCCCTGGCTTTTCTTCAAAATATGAGTTTTGCAATATTTGAGAAAATTGTCTTAAATGTGTAAATGAATAGAGCATCATCATTGCCTAAAAAGACAAGGAGAATAAAGTGTAAATCATGTTAAAATGAGCCATTTAGATGAATTACATTACAGGTAATTAGAAATATTATATTTTTTAAAATCCATTTTCATTTGGTTGTCAGCACTATCAGGATTGCTGTCTTGCGAAATGAATATCGCAAACATGTCCTGCTTCTACTGCTACTTTCACAAAGCCACACTGGCATCAAGTGGCTACTACAGTCTGCAGCTGCAGTCTTCACTGCAACTGGTTCACGTTATTATTATTTATTAATTTTAATTAAAGCTAAAATATGCATTTAATCTCCTTGATGTATTAGGTACACGTATACACAGAGTATATGGATACAGAAAAGGGCAGAAATTCAACTATTTTCATTTAAACTTTTGGATAAATGAAACTATAAGGTTTTTGGTAGCTACTCGAAAGCTGACAATTTGAATTGATTTTGGAAAAGTCACTTTGTTTTTCTAAGGATCAAGTGAATTGTTAAAATATATTAAGATAACTTATTTTGTCTTGCAGTAAGTCTGAAGTTTATCTTTTATCAAGGAGAACCTTGTTGAAAATCTGTCTGAGTGAAGCATTAGTTGGTCAAACACAAATTTGAAATGGAGTTATAAAAGCATAATGAGTTATGCAAGTCACAATAAATATAAATGTGAAACACTGATGCTATAAATGCTCATTCTATCATGAACTTTAAATGTTGATGGTGGCTAGAAGCTAAATAAGTTGTGTGAACTTACGGGGGGGGGGGGCAGGAGCATAATGCTCTAATTGCGAATATTAGTGGACTGATTCGTTCACTGGCTTTATTGTTGATTCGTAGTAGGTGGAGCAAGATACTGCTGTTTTAAAGATAAGATGATTTTGTTTGTGATAAGTAATTAATTAGTAATTCATTAATAACAATTTATTTCTAAAATACACTTGTATTTTTTAATTGTACCATTTTTTACCCATTCTCATTGTCATTCATAATGGAAATAATTTATGAACATAACACGGAGAAAAATGTAGACTAGTAAACCTGGAAAAGTCGGGGAATTTAAAAAACTGGAAAGCGTATGAATCCTACAAGTTGGTATGTCACCTATTATCAAATTAAATTGTGAAGCTCTGCTATGCCACTCATCTTGATCTTATCGTTTTGGGGTATGTATCTCCTCTGAGGACTGCTACTCCATAGCATGGTTGGTTGGATACAAACAGTATCTCAAAATCTAAATGAAATTAAATTGATATAGGGACAGAAATTATATTCTATGATACAATTTAAGTGACTTAGACTTGATTTAATGACAATGCTCAGCCATATCAGAAGCGATAGCAATAATAACTCTTTCACAATACCAGGCATATAAACGTTTAAAGCAGAATTTAGCAGGTGGCCTTTCAAATTTAGTACCCAATATAAAGCTATTTACAATTTTATGTCAGTGATGTATAAAGTATGAAATGTTTGCACACTGGTCCTTCTGGTTTATTATCTTTCTTAAAAAGTCAATATGTTGCACTGTTTTAAATGGCTCCAAATCAGCACCATCCCCAAAACCACTTTTGTTAAGCCTAGTACACAGTTTTGAAGTGTTGTACCCAATTTGTAATTTTTCATAATTTCATAAATTTTTCATAAATTCTACAGTGATTTACTATATTTTCAGTCAGCTGTTCCTTCCTGTAGGTTTGATTATTAATTTTTTAAATTCCTATTTATTGAGTAGTCAAGAATTAAAAATCCAGCTTGATGCAATTAAGTTTTATTTTCTTCATTGTTGTGAGATCAGTTAGAAAGAATTATTGATAGATTTAGACCACCTTATAAGATACTTTTTTGAACATTATGCTTTTGCAATAATTGAGTGAATTTTTGATTGTGGTTTTGACTGTGGTAGTTTTTAGGTGTTTATGATTTTGCCATTATGCATATTCTTTAGTCTGATTCTGAATTCAGGTAAAATGTTAATTCTATTTTCCTCTTACTTTATAGGTGCCAGGAATCGTACTGAACTGAGGGAGGCATTACAAATTATGTATCCTGTGTTAAAGAGCTTCAAGAAGGACAAGTCTCAATAAAAAAAATATGTATTAATGTTTATTTTAGTTTATTTGCAATTATGAAATTGTGAACATTTTCATTAAAAAAATTAATTTGTTAATTTCTTAATATCTGTATATAAGTAAATGAAACTAATCATAGTCCTTGGGATATTTTTTAATGTAAATGTGAGGACTAAATGCAATTTGAACTCTCATCTACAATATTTAATTATCATTTCTCTGTAAATAGTGCTTATGTTAATGCATTTGACTATCGCTGTTTATTTCTTTATTTGTAATTAATTGTTGATTAGTTAACTTCTTGGGTGTGGAATAATATAATTGATGTAAGTTACTCACAGAAATTGAAGGAAACGTGGTATAGGCCAGAAATTATGGATTATGAGGGACCATTTTTGGTTGTTTTCCTCTATTTTTAGCCCCCTTGTGCAGGGTTTGATTGAAGGTAAGAATGTACACGTTAGGGACCAGAAGCGCTGTAATTTGGAAATAGTAAATTTTTTGTTACTGTTTCCAGTATTAGATATTTTGGTATCAGTTGTATAAAATACTGATACACTATAAATTATGTAATGTTAATGATAATGTTATTTCTTTTATTGAGCTGAGGCTAGTACTCATATGCACACTTCACCTTTATTTTTGTTTTTCATGTTAATAATAATATTGTTGTGTTTTTTAAATAGTTTTTTTTTAATTTCTTCCTTGGGCCTCTGGAAATTTACTTCTGGGTCCTCTAGAGAAAATATTTATTTTGACATTAGTTGGTGCATTTACTAAGAAGCTGTTCATAGTAATGTAAAGGCCTTAACCACTATTCCTTCAGAAAGAATTATATATTCTGCAATTTTAATTTACAATATAAGCTAATATTCAATGTGCTACCCTTGCAAAAAGTAAAGGTCATTGTTGCTTTATTGATTTTGATGTTACTCTATTTGTTATTTAGATATCCCAGGTATCTTAGTTTATTGAATACAATTACAATTTTTAGAGGATCAGGCCACATTTTGGGGATTGACCCAAAAGTGGAGGTGTGATATAATAAATATAGTATTACTTTTATACTTTTATTGTGTGTGTGGGTTTATGTCTGAATGTACTGAACTTGTATTATCATGTAATCAGAGTTAAAAATGATTTTCTCAAAGATTCTTGCTGTTGACAGCTCCAAACATGCTTCTGAGACAATTTTGTTTGCCCAGTGTCTTGCAACACGATGGGATTAGATGCCAATGAATGTGCTTCCTATCTAAAGTATTGGAATTTCCGTGAGTACTTGTGAAAACCACAAAATTGTTGTATCTGAAAAGTATATGAAGTGCATTACTTTAGTGGCTTATCTTTTCTGTCAATTAGTCTTATCTCTGGCAAAGAGCCTTGGTTGAAGTGAACTTATTATACGCAGATTATTCAGTGGCCCTGGTGACTTAGCCATTTTCAATCAAATCATTCAGATTCTTGTTAATGTGCGATTCGTCATAATATCATTCATGATTAAGAAGAAACCAATTGTAAGGTTTTTGAAGTATTTGTTTTAATTACTCTGAATGACAATCTTGTTGAGAAGTGGAAAAAACCAAAGTACAGGACAGTCTCATTCCACTGCAAACATTAATGTCAATCTCTTCTTTAACGATACAATTATGATTGGCTTGATCTATTTCTGTTATATATTTTTGCTTTACTTCTTGTAAGTACAGTATTTTTTATCCAGTTGTTGCAGTTTTAAAATACCACTGTACTGTAGGTGACTAGAATGCAATTTGGCAAAGGAACGTGGTGAACCATCTTGTCTCCCAATTTCTTGTACAAGATGCATGGTGAACCATCTCATCTATCCATTTCTGTTAATACTCATTTCAAAACTGTGATACTGACTGAAGCCAACAGAAAGGAATCCTGGAAAAGATACTTTAAAGAAATACACTGTAGATAAAACATGTAGAAGTAAATTAACAAATGAGTGTTTGCTGGAAAAGTTTTTTCAGGAAACAAATATAAACTTCTCAAAATTTACTTTTCCTTTAATTACATTTTTTTTCTTTTTCTTTCTTTTTTTAATAACTTAAATTTTCAATTGGCACTAGTATTTTCTGTGAAATGGTTTATGGACATAGATCAAGCACATTCTATTGATAATTTGAATGAAATTTGACAGCTCAACTCTTCTATCTGTTTGTACAGTATTGCGACATAACATAAAACATTTTCTAGTAAAAAATGAAAATGAAAATTATTGCCACTTTCATTGTCGCCTGAAATGGGTCATGAGAATAACATGCTTACAAGTTCTTTTGCATATCTGATTTGGAAAAATGGATTTGTGTGTGGAAACAAATCTCTAATTTATTAATATATAGAAGAACAAGAAATTGTCCAATATAATTACCTTTTGACTGTTTGGGCAATATGTCTGAAAAATTGTTTATTTGCACATTAGTAAATATAAATAAATAAAGAAAGTAAAAAAATGTTGATAAAGTAAGTGAAAAAAAAATTAATAAAAATTAGAATTCATAAGATGAATCCCATACTTGCCTTGCAAAACAATTCTGGTTTATGACTGATGAAGCTGGAGCGGGATAGGTAGATACAATATTTTTCTGCTAGGCAAAAAGCTCTGAAAAATTGATCTTAATTTGGTTGAGATCCTCATTTTGCCCCTGCTGTAGCTCTTTGACAACTGGAACAATCTTGAACATTAGATTTAAAAATCTTCGTAATTCCGTTTTTCTTAAGACATGAAAGCCTATCTATATTGGGATAAGTTTTGTCCCATTTAAAAATTACCTCATAGAATATTTGCAAAAGAATAATATTTATATTCATAAAAATAGTTTATCATAAGTATAATTATCATTTTTATTGTAATTATCATATTATTATTATTATTATTACAATTATCATATTTATTATGCATCTGTGGTACAATTTCTTAACAAGTTTGTAACAAGGTGATGTATTATTTTTAACCCTCACAAAGCTGATAATGAATGATGAGTGGAGGATCATATTCAATCATTACTGTTATAAATTTATATATTGGCAAAGTAGTTCAATTCAATTTTTATGTATTGTGAATTTACACTTTTATCTTATTTTTTGTGTTTTTTTTTTTTTTATGCACTTTTCTCCATTGCATGAATGAGCAGTGCTCAAGAACTATTTATTTGCATCCATGAGACAATGTATTTTTTGATATTTTGTTGTAATAAGGGGTAGTAGATATAGATAAAAGGTTGTGGAAACTTGTATATAGACAATTTAATTCATATTAAAGTGTGTTGTAGATCAACAGAATTCCTTTTTTTTTCTGGATAATATTTGGTGTTTTTCATTGAACTGTAATTTTGTTGCTTATTTTTAAGGATAACATTTGTTGTGTTAATCATTGATTTGAATTTGGATCAGTTTTTTTGCGTGACCTATTTTATGGCAGTGTATTTACGTGTTTATTTTCATGTTATGACTGTGACTATGACTTTATGACTGTGTTCATTAGATGGAAATTTCCTTAGCATAAAATATTGTTCATCAATATTTATTTTCTTATTCCATTGAATGTATTTGAGTTTTATGTTTACCACATAATTCTTCACGGGTATACTTTTGTATTTGGTACCTATTTAGTGAGTAAATATTGAAGCAATAAATATGTATAGTTACTCTCTCCCCTCCCCCTGTCCTCGCTTCTCTCACCTCTTACCCCCTTCTCTCCCTGCACTCCTCACCCCTCTCCCTTGCATCTCTCCCCTAACCCCCCATTCCTCACATCATCTTTCTTTACCTCTCTCTGTCAACTCTCAATGCATCATACAATGTTCAAGTTCTTTCACATAAAATTGGGTTTATTGTGGCAGCATTACCCACTCTTCTCATTATAATCTGTAAGTAAGATAGTTGACGCGCCCGGAATCAAGAAAGCAAAACCATGGTCATTAGTCCCTCAGTATAGTAGTGTATGTTCTTCGGGAGGTGGCGATCTTCCCCCCGCTAGATGGCGAGATCCGACGCCGTTCTATCGTCGGCTAACGGTATTTTACACGGAATAGTGTAAGCACAGTGAATCAAAACTAGTAGTGCTACAACATAACTTATTTTCTCGCGTTATTTGTTACGGCGACGCAATATTACTACATGAACCTAGAAAAGTCTTTTCAATCAGCGAACATATTTCTCCGCGCCGAAAATTTGAGCCCAGGTCCATGGAGTTCCCTGCCCTGCGTTTTACCGCTAGGCCACGTAGTTGCTGGCCAACTACTACTTTTGGCGATGCTTAAAATGTAAAGGTACCTGCTATAATTTCTAACTTACGCAATTTTTAGAAGTTTGAGTTCAATTACATGTGGACTGCGCCATTTCTAAGCGTCGTTTGCGCTCTCTGTTTTTTTTTTTAAAAAAGGAGTCGTTTTTTTGGGAAAATATTTTTTTTATAAATTGCATTAACTTAAGAAATTACGCGAAGTGTATACTTTTTTTAAGTTGTAATGAAACCTCACACGTGGGACGCCAATTTATGTAATGCAACCACACACGTTGGACGTCAATTTATGTAATGTAATATTTATGTGAGTTACACTATCCTGAGGGGGAATTGTCATCACACGTAAGGTGAAACGGTCGCTTTCAGACATCAGGGTGCACACGCTGAATTTATTTAAAGGGCGCCAAGCGAATGCCTTACCTATTGTCTCGGGGTTGAGCGCCCTGGGTCGAAGGACTGCATTTGGCTTACTGACTACAAATAATACACATTTCTTTGTGTTACCACCCGACAAAATGGCGGGGACACGTTAATTATCGTGGTAAACTCTCACTCTCTCTCTCTCTCTCTCTCTCTCTCTCTCTCTCTCACACACACACACACACATACAATTATTTGTTGTGCTTTCATCTGGCTAATAATTAGTATGGGCGTGAATTCACTTATAGGATGGTGATGATTGTGATGTCGCTACTTCACCCCGAAAGGATTACACGTTCAATACAGGTCGGCTGCAGCGGAGGACCCGTTGAAATGCTATAAGTCTCCTGTAGTCGGCGGTAACCTCGCGGATGTCAACCCCAAGCTGGGCGGGAGATCATCTGTGGCCGCCCGCGATATGAAGTCTGTTTTTTGATGCGCCGGTCGCAGGTCGTCACACGTCGCCTGGACCGCGTATTGTCATTTGCATCATAATTTAGGGTGTTTATCCTATTATCCCGGCCCGGCATTCGGAATGAATTCCAATGCTAAAATGAGGACTGGCAGGATCGTGTGGAGAGCATTGATCGTTCGTTGGGTGGGTGTTGTCGATGTTAAACCAAGAACTGTTTCACTAAAATCCGACCGATCGCTGTCGAGCCTCTTTCTCTAATAATCATGTCTTTCTAGCGCCCTCAGCTCATCCGACTCCCGTCCCCCACCCCTTTCGCAAAATGCGAGGGCTCTGTCACGTGCGTTACGCGAAGCTTCTCATAGGCTTGTTAAAAAGATTTCCAGAACATTCTATCACCCGAGCTCTGTGATTGGGTTAAGAGAACTGCGCATCTTAAATTCCTACCATGTAATTGGTTGGTCTTTGTTCTGAATGTAGTGCCTACGTGACTCGACACACGTCCGCGACCCTTCTACGGAGCTTCGCGGTTTATTGCCCGTTTGGGATTAGCTAGCGAGCTGCCCCCGAGTCTCTTCATTTGACTGTTCCGAGAGTCAATCACCTACTGCCACACAAACGAGCGAAGGGGTACTTTTGCGGAGGCCGGGGAATTCTAGGGTGGCGGCGCGCGCATCTGCGCAGGGCGAATTGTACCAAAGGCGCCCTTCGCCTCGAGATATTTTAATAGAGCGTGACACAGGGGTCGCGTAAAGTAAATTATTTTTTTACAGATATGATTTTTATTTAAGAATAAAAACTGTATAATCAATATTTTGCTTTTGTAATGTTATTTTTTTGCAATTTTTGAAAATACAGAGTTCCCCCAGAAAAGTCCAGTTCCACTTCTTTAACAGTTTTTTGCTTCATATGATTATAGTGCTTTGTTTCATATGAATACAAAATTTAAAGAAAATTGATGGTGCCACTTTTGAGAAAATAATTATTTAAAAATTGCCTAAATTTCACGAAAATTACGCAAAAACTACTCATAATTTTAGAAAATTGTATGTAATCTTATATCATGGTTGTCTTTGAACGACGGATTTTATTAACGAAAAATCTCAATATTGTAGTTGTAGAATGACGTCGAAAAAGTTTTGAACTTTTGAAATTTTCGAAAAATCAGGGATTTTAAAGAGATCTGTGCCTTTCTTTAAGTGTACTTTACGCTATCGGAACTCAATTTTTACTTTCCCGTATACGTACGTGTGTAGGGAATAATATACTTAGTATAGGGAAAGTGTTATGTTGTTATTTAGTTATGTTGGGAAAGGGTTATATAGGGAAAGTGTTATGTAGTAATGTTGCGGAAAATCAATTTCGAGATTTCAACGAAAATACAAGTTTTGGGACTTCCAGATATCGAAAACGTGTTTTTTTCAAAACGTCCGTCTATCCGTCCGTCCGGTGTATGTAAACACTACTAGCACCTAAATCATACGTAGGATGTTTCCCAAATTGAAGAAAACCCTGTCCATTTGGCTCGAGTCGAAGCTTTGAGATTTTGAAAAACATGCTTCAAATTTTGAGGGTACTTTACATGAAGCCCTCCGCACATTTTCAAAATTTTCTCAAAAACGGCTCAAAATTTGTTCTTTAAACTTCTTGTAAGAGTAGAGTTACATACAATTATAAACGTTTCTTAAGTCCAATTTTCACAGTTAACTCTGAATTTTCGAAAATTTCAAAAATATTTTTTTATTGACGTCTTCATACATCTACAAAATTAAAGTTAGGGATTTTCCTCTCAAATAAAATTTGTTCTCCATAGTAAGTTGTTTCATTAAGGTCAAGTACTTTCTTTGAAAATTTTAGTAGTCTTCGCGCAACATTGCGAGCAATTTGTGCAATTTAAAAAAAAATATATATATGATAATATTTTCAAAAATAGTCCCAATCGTTTTATTAAATTTTATCCTCGAATAACGTTAAGGACATTTAAATGGAATTAAGGAATGACACAGGTCTCATTTTCATTCAAGTGGACGACTTTTTCGAAAGTTACAAAAATCAAAATTTTTTTCAGCGTTTTCTTACAATTACATTATAATAGAAAAAAAATTTCTTGAATGAAATCTATTGTTCAAAGACACCATGAAATAAGGTTTGGTACAATTTTCGAAAATACGAGTTGTTTTCGCTTAATTTTGTGTGAAATGTTCTCAAAAGTCAATTCTTAATAAATTTCTCTTCAGATCTTAATATATTTCTTCAAAAACGGCTCCAATTTTTTTCTTGTACGTAGAAAAGGACGGTGAAAGAAAGTGGTACTGGTCCGATTTTCGGGGAACTCTTATTTTCGGAAAGTACAAAAAATTAATATTGTCTAAGTGCAATATTGAAAATAAAGATTTTTTACTTAAAAGCAATATGTTTTAAAACGCTAACTCTTTAAAAGAGATCATGCATTTTTTGATAAAACAAGTAGTTTTCGTGTAATTTCTACTTGAAGTTACTGCAATGTATGAAAAAGTTCTCAAAATCAGCTCCATTTTTTTTACTCCGGGTCATTAAGTGTATAAAATAAAAATTATCTTATAAGTCACCACTATTTTACCTATAAAACTTTGTTGTTCATTTTCTGTATGACTACCCATTGGTTTATTGGAGCCCAGGGCAGTTGTACAGCCATTTTTTTAAGCTTCTCTTCTTCTCCGTGAAAAAATTGGAGCGTTTTTTGAGTAAATGTATTTTTTATAAATTTCATTTATTTCAAGCACAGATCACACTAAAACTACTTCGCTTCTTCAAGAATTTGTACACGACCTTTTTTGAAGAGCTTATTTTGTACAACAGATTTTGTCTGAGACAAAAGTTTCTATCTCCAATTTTGAAGTTAATTTTTTTCCATTTTTCGAAAAATCGGGGATGTCAACGAAAATGAGACCTGCACCAATCTCTTAAACGTCCTTTGCACTATTTAACATCAAAATTTAATAAAAAAATTGCTGCAATTTTTTTTTAAATTTTGAAAATATCCCAGTGGTTTCAGGTAAAGTACCCCCAAAATTAAAGTTTCGGTTTCAAATTCCAGGGTCCGCAACATCAGCTAGAACGATTGGAGAAAATCGGCTGAACGGTTTATGCGCTAACGTGCACAGACGGACGGTCGTATTTTGCAGTCAATCGATTTTTCGGTATGAAGACCCACAAAATATGAATTCTGTCTACACTGCGTGTTAAAGGATTTTTTCCTATTTTTAGCAACCGGATTTGTCCACTTTTTCCGTACCAGGGCCAAGCAATAAGAGTTTTTGTGTCGAAAATTGGCCGTTTTCCGGCGCTGGGTTACAATACTTTCTCTTCTTACGTTAGAAAGTGCGAGAAAATAAATATGGATTCTACTGAGTAAAATTTTTTTGCATCAATATAAAAGGCGACAGACAGATTCGAAAAACATTTTTACGATCTACCAAACATTTCACCACATACTGGTAACTCAAAATTACGTGAAAACAAATAATATTTGGAAAATAATTCGTACAAAATGATTTGTAGATTATATAGTA